GTATTTTTTGCTGTAGAGGAAAATATAATTATATTTCTTCGTTACAATGGTTCGAGCTATAAAATAAATATAGATTAGTAATGTGCTATTTTGTTAAATATCATTATTACATTCATATAAATACATACATATATATATATATATGTGTGTATATATATATATATTTATATTTGGCATAGAAACCTGCACACACCTTTTTATGTATATATATATATATTTACACACACACATATATATACACATATATATACACTATATATATATATATATATATATATATGTATATATATATATATGTATGTATATATATTGTGTGTGTGTATTATTTGTGTGTGTGTTTTACACTTTCATATTTGAATCTTTAACCACATACTTATTACCACACACACACACACATATATATATATATAATTTTTTTTTTACAAGTAGGGAGTGTTGTTGGAATCTAAGTCATTATCCATCATAGCCATCTCTATTTTTTCTATTTGTTTGTAATAAACAATAAACTTTTTTTTTAAATATTTTTGTCATAAAAATTACCTGTTCTTTAGTTCTTTAATCGCCAATCTATTAACTAAATTTATTATAGTTGAAGATTCAATCAATATTGCCAAATTTATATATATATATATATATATATATATATATATATATATATATATACGTATGTGTATATATACCTATGTATGTATACATATATTTTCGTTCATACTGTTCATACATATACACATATATTTACATACGCATATAATATATTATATATATATATATATATATATATATATACATACATTTTTTGCTATGGCATTCCATATTATAAATGTTCTCTCTCCATTCTCTCTCTCTCTCTCTCTCTCTCTCTCTCTCTCTCTCTCTCTCTCTCTCTCTCTCTCTTCTCTCTCTCTCTCTGTATTTATATATATTTTATTTTGTTCACGTTTTATTATTTCTCATTAATTTTGAAGAAAAATTTCTATGACCTGTCTTCTATTAATTGTTTTTTCTGCTAGCATTTTAATTTGTGAATTTATTATATAATTATATATTTCTGTTAAATATGAAGTTATATATATATACATATGTATATATATATATTTTTTTTACCAACATATGTATATATATATACATACATATGTGTCAGTGTGTGTTTGTAATGTTATATATATATATATATATATATATATATATATATATATATATATTTGTGTGTGTGTGTGTGTGTATAGTTGTATAATTATTTAGATTTTTTACATTCGAAGTCATTAGTTTCAGTTTTTTTTCTTTTTTTCATTATTATTCGAGTTATTGCTTATTATTATTGTATTACATTATTATTTTTTTATTTAATTATCTCTTGTAATAATTATCATTATTTGTTTATTTTTTCACTAAGAAAGATTAATGTGATGTTATTATTATGATTGTAATTGTTGTAATTTATCATAATAATAATTATTATTATCAGTTTTATTATTTATTATTGCTAGTTTTTTCTTGTTTATTATTATCGTTGTTGTTATTATTATGTATTAGTATTATATTATATATTATTATTATTATTACCTATTTTCATTATTTTATATTTCACTGTGTGTGTTATTATGTTCTGATTGAATTGTACTGAATTGTATTGAATTGAATGAATGAATGGCTGATTGATTGTTTAAATTTTAATTGTTTGAATTTTGATTGATTAATTGTTTGAATTTTGATTGATTGGTTGCTCGATTGATTGTTTAAAGGAATCATTGATTGTTTGAATTTTTGCTTGTTTATATGAGCGCTTGCATGCGTGTTTCTAGATAGGTTTGAATTTGTTTTTGAAAAAATATAAATTGTATTTTGACTGACCGACTGACTGATTGGTTGATTGATTGATTGACTGATTGATTGATTGATTAGTTGATTGTTTCTTTGATCACTTGTTTGATTGGTTGATTGATTTTTTTAATATTGACTGGTCGCTTGGTTAGATAGTTAAATGATTTGTTGACTTTAGTTCATTCATTCACCTTTGATCTACCTTATTGTTTTTCCTAATTTTCGGAATGTTAGATTAGATGAATGTTACAACGATCTAACTGTAGACGTTAAATTTATGAAACGCCAACAAAACAAAGAAACAAGGCAACACCAAAGAATCATTTTTTAGGTTGTCTTTGTTAGTTTTATTTTCTGACTTTGTTTTCTATGAATTTGAATTCGCATTTCTTTCTGTTTGAAGTGTTTCAATCAAAGTGACATTTTACTATATAAGTGTGTTTGTATGTGTATGCTTATATATATATATGTATATATGATTGAGTGATTAATTACGGTGATTAATTTGATGATGTCATTTTATTAAGGCTTGAATGTGTGAGTAGGATGGCCATTTTGACGATGGCGACTCCAGTGAGGATGACTATAAAGATGACGATGATTTTATATTTTTTTCTCATATTTTTACTAACAATTATAATGAAAAGCATAAAAGATGTTTCTAGAGAGATTTCGTGTACGATTGCATGGTATCAGTGAGTAAAAGAACATATTAATGAATGATAATCTTTATCTATATTTGTAATGATTAACCTTTCAAGAAATGAACTATAATTAAAAGTGATAAAATTAATTTCAAATCTTCGTTTTATTTTCGTTTTTTGCACTATTTTGTTAACACATCAGCAAAAACATTTTGAACATATGTTTGTGTGATCAACACAATTATTTGTTAGTTATATATATCATCTTATATATATATTTAATTATTTATATATATATATATATCACTTATAAAATCTTTTAGTAGTAACTAATTATTTTGGTTTTAAATTTTAAAATTCGTACTTTATATATATATATATATATATATATATATATATATTGAAAGATTATTGTAAGTTATTTGGTTATATACACGGTTAATATAAGAAGTTAAGCATAACCAAAGGTCGTTTATTATTTGATATGGTGAATATTCATTTTGAGTTTTATCTCGGATTATGTATGAAAATTGAAGATGTGATTTTCCGCTTGAATCTTATTGGTTAACAAAAGTTTTTTGGATGAATTTTATTGGTTGAAAACGTAAAAAGTTATAATTTAGATTAATTTTATTGGTTGAAAATTCGAATTTGTGATTATTTAGACGAGTTTTATTGGTTTAAAATATAAAAATGTGATTACGTGGATGACATTTTATTGATTGAACAGAATTATCGTTATTACTAATCTTCTTAATGACTTTGATTGGTTGAAGTGTCCAAAAAAATAGCAAACTGGGTTTTTTATGTTTCAATTAATCGGAATTTATGTGTGCGTGATACATACACGCAATGCCGTATTGAAATTTCGTCAATTTATAACGAATTCACTTTGTCCAGATCTGGGTTGGGCAAACTTTTTGCTGTGAGGGCCGCATTGAGAACTATTATACCTTTGAAAGGCCGCATATGTACTTAAATAGCAAATTTTTTCAACCCGGGGGAGAATTTTTTAAGATTTGTGGCTCTTTTTTGGTCATAATATCTGGCTGGCGACATTTTTTTGGCGAACAAGGCCTTGCAGGCCGTAGTTTGCCAACCTCTGGTTTAGATAAACAAAAAATGTTTTCATTTAAAGTAACACGTTTCATCTGATTTTGTGATAATTGTTATCGTACAAAGTAATTTCGTAAAAAAAATTACATCTTAATCAGTTGTGATTCTTTAGAGTCAATGAATGGGTCATGTAACAATCTTATTCCTTAAAAGTGTTAATGAGATCAATCTACAAACAGTGCGCACTGCATAGCATTTGATGTTAGTAAGTGTGTGTGTGTCTGCGTCTACATCTACAGCACTTAAAGGTTAAAAAACTCGGTTGATGACAAATTTTTAAAATAATAACCAATTAATGTTATATTAGAAACCTCATTTCAGGGGCCCTTTAAATTTAGAGGCCAAATGCCCCTCCTGCCTTTTTATTTTTTTTATCTAAAAAGTATTTTTAGCGCAATAGGGGCACAAGAGTTGACCGGCGGTTACAACGAAGCCCTTCTCAATGAGGTTGCAGTCGCAATTGCAGCAGGTGAAGCATTTGCAGTGCCAGCTCTTGTCCTCGAAGGATATGTAGCGCTTGTCGTCGGAGCCTGAATGGGTTGATTATTCGATTGATTAGTTGGTTGGTTGACTGGTTGTTGGTTGGTTGACTGGTTGATTTATTGACTGAATGGTTGGTTGATTATTAGGATAGTTGGCTATGGTCGATTGATTATGATCGGTTATATTAATGTAGCCATGTAATCCTCAAATTTATTTGTGATGTAGAATAAGTTTTAAATTGAAACTTTAAAATAGCACGCATTCCATCACTAAAGATCCGCATAAATAATTTTGACTAAACTCATTCTGATTGGTTAATTTTAAAACACCAGCACTAATTGGTTGATTTTTAAACACCTACCTGTGATTGGTCTACCGCAGCGCACACACTTCTTCACAAACTTCTCAGTGTAGCAGTTCTGACAATACAATTCATTATCTTTGGTAACAAATTTGACGTTTAAGAGGGAAATGCTACATAACTTGCAGGCGAAGCAAGTACTGTGCCAGGGGGTGTCTTGTACCTTAATTCCTCCATGGTTGATCACCTTTCATTTTAGGTTCATAGGTACACACAAACATGTACAAACACACACACCCCACATAAACACACACACCACGCTACAAACACTCCACACACACACGTACACACACACACACACACACACAATACAACCACACATACACAAAACCAGTGAAAGAAAGAGAGCCTAACTTTTTGGCATTTTTTGCACTTTAGAGCGTACTTATCTTCGTAGCATCTGACGCAAAGTTGAGAATTCTGGTGAGGAACGAAGAGGCTCGTTTGTATCAGCGCATCACACTGCGCGCACTTGAAGCACTCCTCGTGGCGATGCTTGCCGTCGAACTCGTAAGTCACCTGACCTGTCACGTGGTTTGGTTTTTTTAATCTTCTATGTTGATTTATTCGTCAATTCTTTAGTTCGTTTATTCATCAATTTATTGATTTTTTTATTCCAACCAGCGAAAAGTGCATCTTCTAAACAAGTTTACTTGTGAAATTCAAACAGGAAAACGCACGGCAACACTTGCACACACGCACGCACAAATACACAAACCAACCGTCTTCAAATTTTTTATCGCATATACAACACTTGGATGTGGGCAGTTTATCATAGCAGTCCATGCATAACAATTCCTGATTTTTGTAGGCGAATCTGTTGTTGGTTAAGTTAGCGAGGCAGTCGTGACACATGAAACATTCGTCGTGCCAGTATTCATCGTTAAATCCGACTTCCTTCATGTGTGTGTGCGTGTGCGTGCGTGGTTGTGTAAGTGAGTGTGTTTGTACGCGTGTGTGCGTGTGTATGTGAGTGTGAGGCTTGTACGTATATATAGACGGATGGATGTGTGAGTGTGTGTGTGTGTTTTGGATGTATGTTTGAATGTTTGTCTGTCTGTCAGTCAAAAAATTTCAGTTAATTAGATGTTCAATTTTACATGTTTTCAATCTCAATGACCCCGAACCGTCAGATAACTTTTTAACCTTTGACCTAATTACATATCATGTAATTAAATCTAATTAAATCCTTTCTAAAGTTGCTCACGTCTTTTGAAATTTTCACATGCATCCCGTGACACTAACTTTCTGGTCGGCCCTAATCAGCTTTTCACATCGTTGGCACCTGTTAGCAAAGGTGGTCTCGAAACAGGGTAAGCAGTAGATTTTGTTGTTCTGCTTAACATAGCGCCGACCATTTAAAGATTCCAAACAATGAGAGCACTCCAAAGTAGGGCGGGCGTGGTTGTTCCAATTTGGCATTGATTCCATTGGCTGGAGATTTTTTTAATTTATGCAAAAATGTTAGGTGATTACGTGATTGGATGGGTTTGTTATATAGGCTAAAGGTTATTGATATTATTAATAGTAGTAGTTGTTGTAGAAGAAGCAGTAGTAGTAGCAGCAGTAGTAGTAGCAGCAGCAACAGCAGCAGTAGTAGTGGCACCAGAATCTCGATAACATTTATTATTAAACAAAACAATTTACTGTTGTTTTATTGACAAGCTTCTTCGTACTGTGGTGCTGAAACAACTACAACGATGTTTATATATTTACTAAATGAATTAATTATAAAATGCAATTAAATATATTTATTATTTATTTATTTAGTAATAAATTCCTTTAATTAATTGTTCTTTGAGTTGGTTAAAACGGTTCAACTGCTTCTTATTAAAATGACAAAAACTAAAGACACAATATTTTGTATAAAATAAAAAAATACACAAACGAACAAATAATTTCAAGCGTTATTCTAAATTATCGTTATGTTATAAATAATATTTCTAATGACAATGTATTAAAATGTGTTAAATGAAATGAAGCATTGATAGCGATCTATATGTTTGTTTGTCTGTCTGTTTGTTTGTTTACCATCACGTGTTTTGAAATGACGTCAACTTAACATTCTAATTATTATTATTGTTTTTTAAATATTATCACTATTGTTGTAATCAATGCGATTGTCGTTTTGTATGCATATATCATTATGATGTGTGTGCGTGTGTACGTGTGTGCGTGTGTGTGTGCGTGTGTGTGTGTGTGTGTGTGTGTGGTGAAAATTTTTTTTTCAGTTAACAGAAGACTTCTCAAAGTCCAGGCAGAATGTTACACTGGTCGAATCGGCGTTATGTTCATGTTGTAGTATGTCAAGAGTTTTTTGATATTATCATTATTATTATTATTATTATTATTATTATTATTATTATTTGTAGTAGTAGTAGTAGTAGTAGTGATAGTACAAATGATAGTATTGCTATTATATTTCTTGAATTGTAAGAATTGTATTTGAAAATGACATAAATATAATAATAATAATAATAACGATAAATAATAATTTTAATAAATAATAATAATATAACAATAACACTAACACTAACTTTTGGCGTCTGTCAATTCAAATCGTGCAAAACTTCTTTTCAAAATTAAGTTCAAAGTTGATAAACTGGTCCTTTTGTTTTTGTTGTTATTATTATAATTATTTGGAGTAGTAGTAGTAGCAGTAGTAGTAGTAGTAGTAGTAGTAGTAGTAGTAGTAGTAGTAGTAGTAGTAGTAGTAGTAGTAGTAGTAGTAGTAGTAGTAGTAGTAGAAGTAGTAGTAGTAGTGTAGTAGTAGAAGTAATAGTGGTGGTGTGAGTATATTAAAAATGGTTGTACAAATTTTTTCCGAAACTAAATCTGACCTGCGTACACATTGTTGGAACAATATCGCAAATATTAAGAAAAATCAAAAGTGTGATGCTTAGTAGAAGTTCGGCGAGCAATTCTTTCAATGATTATAACTCTCTAAATGCTGATCAGATTTTACAATTTTTTTGTGATAAAATTGCAAGGACAATCGAAACAGCAGGTGCTGCACATCCTGATGTTCGGCTTTATGCTCTCTCGATGTTGGATGAATGTACTTTAGCTAATTGATTGATTGATTGATTGATTGATTGATTGATTGATTGATTGATTGATTGATTGATTGATTGATTGATTGATTGATTGATTGATTGATTGATTGATTGATTGATTGATTGATTGATTGATTGATTGATTGATACGTTTGCCTGCTTTCCGTTGGTCACTGAAATTCAGTTGAGGGAAACGATTCTTAGATCACCATCGCAAACATGCAGATTGGACATGATCCTTAAAAGATTTTTGGACTCATTTATAAATTTTTCTGACGAGTTTCATAAACCTTTGTTTATGTGCTGGTAAATTTCCTTCATTTTGTAAGCATGCGATGATTCAACCGATCCTGAAATAGGCTAACTCAGATGCAAATGAGGTGAGTAACTATAAACCAATATAAAATCTGACGAAATATCTAACGGTGAATAATTTAATTCCAATCAACAAATCGGCCTATAGACGCTACCATTCAACTGAGACTGCATTGCTTCATGTATTGTCAAACTTGTTTGTGGGATGGTTGATCGGAAGATATCTTTATTCTCCTTTCTTGATATGTTTTCTGTATTCGACTGTGTTAATCAAGACAAACTTTTGGAAAAATTGCATAAAAATTTAGGAGTGTCAGGAACAGTACTTGCTTGGTTTGAGTCATACTTAACGAGTCGAACTCAACAGGTTTAGTTTAGAAAAGTTTTATCAGCTGTCAAGAAGGTAACAGCAGGTGTTCCTCAGAGATCAGTGTTAGGACCAGGTTTTGTTTTTGCTTTATACAGCGGATATAATTAAATAATAACTTGTGCCAGCAACGAATTTACAGATCGAATCATTCAGTATGGCTGTTGATGAACCTGTGGTTTGGAACAGTCTACTGGCTTTTTTTTAAAAAAAAAAAACAAGATCTATCTTTGGTTTTGTTTAAAAAGGAGTTAAAAACTCACTGATTTTTGCAGAACTAACAATGCTTTTGTTTGATTAATGTTTCTATTCATTCATTTTTTAGGGAGCGCTTTTGAAATCTTTTTGTTATTGACGCTGTACAAATTGACTTGTAGTAATAATAATAATATTTATGTATGCATGTATGCATGTATGTATGTATGTATGTATGTATGTATGTATGTATGTATGTATGTATGTATGTATGTATGTATGTATGTATGTATGTATGTATGTATGTATGTATGTATGTATGTATGTATGTATGCATACATGTACGTATGTGTGTGTGCATGTGTGTGTGTGCATATATAAATGGCCATATTATAAATTTCATTTCATCGTTCCTTTTACCATAGGATTTTAATTCTTTTTAATAAAAAAATAATAATAGTTCAATCAATAATAATAATAATAAATGTAACAACAGATAATAACAATAAATAATAACAATAATAATACAAATAGTAATAATAATAATAATAATAATTGTTACTAAATTAGATAGTTGTTGTTACTAACATTGTACTTCTTTGGCCGGTTTTGCCATTTTTTTGGTAAACGTACGTTAACCTTAAGTAAGTATTTCACATTATCAATTATATTTTTTTTCATTTTTTGCTTCATGCTATTAAGTTCTATTAATCTTTATACGGTTTTAAAATTATAACTATTAGTCTGGGTGATTTTTCCCCCACTACTATTGCTGCTTCTACTAAAATCGCTGCTTTTTCTCTTACTGATGTTGTTACAGCTCTCGCATGGTCTGACTCTATGTATCTTAAACTTAATCCTTTTAAATTTGAATTAATTTGTTTTAATAAATCTAAACATTCTATCACTATTCCTTCTATTACCTTGCCCGATTCCAAAACTTGATGTCTCTCACAAGTTTCGTAGTCTAGGCTTTATCTTTGATTCTAGTATGTGTCTTTCTTCTCAGATTGTTGCTAGAAGTTCTTACTTTCATCTACATCTTACTTTTTATGTGAGAGCCGCTTTGAGAACTATTTTGTCTTTGAAGGGCCGCATATATACTTAAATAGAAAACTTTTTCGACCCGGGAAAGAATATTTTTTTTAATTCTGGCTGATGACCTTTTTATTATCAGTACTTATTATGTATTATATAATAATTGAACCTAACCGCCCCGGTTTACGATCGTCTTCTTGTTCTCACTTCTTCTTAACTCGTGTCAAACACTCTTTTGCTAAAAACTGCATTTGCTTTTTCTGGCCCTTTTCTCTGGAAATCTTTACCCCCTCTCTGACTACTTCTCCATCACTTGCGAAGTTCAGAGCGGATCTCAAGAACCATTTGTTAGCAAAATTTATTAAGGAGCGCTGTTGAACATCGCGGAAATAGTGCTTTATAAACTAACATCTTTATAACTGGCTACTATGTTAGCATAAGGATCATAATCATCATCATCACCATCATAATCATCATCATCATCATCATCATCATCTTCTTCTTCTTCGTTGAAGTTCAAACATGGCTCAGACATGGCCCACCGTCATCATTATCATTACCGTCGTCGCCGTCATCATCATCAAGACGGCTCTGGGAATTTCCATTGAAAGTTTCGACCAAAGCGAAAGTGAAAATGTTGAAAAATTCAATGACAAAAGAACGGTATTTATCAAAATAACGAATGAATGAATGAATGAATGAATGAATGAATGAATGAATGAATGAATGAATGAATGAGTAATATATAAACATATACATAAATGTTTTAGATATTGTTTATATAAATATATATTTTGCAGAAAATTATGAAGACTATTGTTACAGCGTCATCATCATCAACAGCAACATCATCATCACCACTTATACTAACATCATCATCACCACCTACATTAACATCATCATCATCATCATCATCATCCTCATCACCCTCACCACCTACATTAACATCATCATCATCGTCATCATCATCATTGACAACAACAACAACAACAACAACAACAAAAACAACATTATCATCATTATCGTCGTCGTCGTCATCATCATCTTCATCACCATCATCATCATCAACAACCCTGGTATCACTTTCGCCAACGACATCATCATCACAATCAACGCTATCATTAGCTATGATACATTCTTCGATAATAATAACGTATCCATCATCATCACCATCATCACTATCATCATCATTCCCATCATCATCAA